AAATCCATGTTTGTGATGTAATGGATCATGCTCAGGGGAAAATATTTGTGGTTTGGGTTACGGTATAAAATAGTTCTTGATGTACGAGGTGTTGACTTTTTGATTGGAGAAGATTTCTAAGCCGATGAAAGTTTTGTATTGCCAGGGGAAATTTGAGGTTTTTGATGTTTGCTATAGACGGAAAAAGGGGAAAAGTCTGGTGCATACAAATATAAAATTTGAGAAAACAAAGAACTGCTTAAACCACTTTTCTTTGTAATAATATTATTTTAATTTTATGATATAAACCACTTTCATTCAATGGCTTCAGCTGTCGCTAATCTACTTTCAATTAGAGGTACTAAATGTCAATTTTCCACGCTTGATTTCCCTGCACTTTCCACCTCCCTTCATAATCAGCCCACACACACGGATCCACCACAGACAGACCTCGATAAGTGCACTTTGTCATGCTACTTCAGCATGTCAATCATCGGCCGACCAAGTCACGCCTTCTTCCGCTGTCCACATGTCCAATATATATACATTAAGTATATGTGTATAGGGAAAATCGGCGGCAGCTGCCGATGTCTGTTAAATTGTTGGACAACAAATTTCACACTCTTTCACGAAACGTAGGAGGGTTTTCCTTTGTCTTTGATTTGGCACCGCCTTCGACTCTTTTCTCTTTACTTCTTTTTTATTTTTTTTTGTACTTCGTTATGATTTCTAGAAATTCACATTAACTGCAATTCACTTTTTTCCAACATTATTTTTCATGTTTTCCATTCGGTTACATACTTGGCTGCCAAGGCTGTGATTATATGCTCTATGACTTGTGAAATTGTTAGTGTCATTGCTGTTGCAACGAGGCACGAGTCGAACCCTGGCAGTCAGAGAAGAAAACTCCATCGAAAGTTGGTTGGAAAGTGATCGAATTGGTCTGGTTACTTCTTATAGTTTACCAAGAGGTCATATACTAACTTAGAAGCTAACTAAGCGAATAAATCTTGAGCGTAGTGTTCAGGTTAAGTGAAATTATATATGCGATTTGGAGCCATCTAAATATCCATTTAGTGAACTAGTTTTCCAGATAATTTAGTTATTTTCTCTAAAGCTAATGGGTTGTCTTTTGTTCTCCTAATTTAATTTAATTTAAGTAAATGACTTCTAATGATGAATGTGCTCTTGGTTGAGTTCTTAACTTCTTGTTTAATTTAATATATTTTCTATTACCTCATTAAATAAAAGATGTAATAGATATTCTTATTGAATATCAATAAAATGATTTATACTTTTTTAAAGGGCTTACGGTTTACAGTCTTCCATAAAACTCTTCGTACCCTCGATTGTGCTCAGCATAAAATGGCAGTTAAATTTCTTTTGGCTTCCTTGTGCGCTGCATACGGCCAGGCTATAATTAATTATTATGAGTGGTCTGATGAGGTATTTCCAAAGCTTTGGCTCATGCCAAGCCTCTGGGCCTTCTCCCATCCAACTCGATAATTAGCCGAGTTGGAAGCGTGAAACAGTCGTATGTTGGTGGTTGCATCACCCGAGTTGGTAGACAAAAACCGAGGGAAACCGAGGAATTTGCAACTCATGCGAGCCAACGATGAGTTGGAATCGCAGTTGGAATCGGACATGACCTATCTTTAGCTATAGAACTATCTAACGAACTAACGGTTCTATGCCCTCCATAATTAAGCACAATCGGTTTGTCTATACAAATCAAACAAAATACATTTCGGTATTTAGCCTCGTTTGCAGTTCTAAGTCTCTGAAGTCTCTGAGTTGATTGTGTTTCGAGAAGAAAGCGTGTAAATTCAACTGGCAGCGAAAGTTTTCCCCCCATCTTGTATTATTATTTGTATGCAAATTAGCGAAGAAGCGAAGCCCAATTCTTTTGTTGGCAGTGTAACAATTATGCTTTCATCTTGCGATTGTTGCCAAAAAAAAACAAAATAGGAAGAAGTCTATTTAACAATGTGTTAATTACACACGGTCACAGTGCTAAATCCGAACCAAGGCATTCTCTAGATATTTATTCCCCACCTTCTGCATGGTAACCGTAAACAAATCTGAGCTAAATCGTTAATTTATGATATTCCTAGCGGTAACCGACAGCCGGCAATCAAGACCCAACCCCGAGAGCTTGACGCTCCGCTGGCCAAGCGTCATCATCTTCTGAAGAGATTCTTCTCCTCCTCCGGCTGACCATCATCATGGTTTTGCTCATAAAGTTCTTCGGATTCTTCTGATGAGCGCCGTTGTCTCGAGCTTCGGCTTCGATTTGAATTTATGACCTTTCGAAGCCCATTAACATGCTGGCTAGCTGGCTGGCCGAGCATTGAATCGTAATTAATGATCGCTTTTCACTCAGTGGTTTTCAATTTGCTTTGTTTACTGAATGGAAAACCTATTTTTTAAGGGCTAGCTGCTGGGTGTAGCAGGTGTTGTGTGTGTGTGGAAAGATGTGGAATGGTACTGGGATTAATTAACGCAATCCCCTCTTCGGAAGCCGGTCGTATAATCTTTTATTTGGACAAGAAAATCCTGTGTAGCCAACACCTAAGCTTGCACTTTTGAGAAGCGCGGAGAGAGGCGCTGAAAACGTAATGCTTCTTAGCTGGGAGACTGTCTTTTTTGGCTTTATCAAATCCAACATGCATGGGAACTACCGCCTGGGATTGGCCAAGAAAGGCTGGGTTCCTAACTTTCCCCGGCTTAAGTTTTCTGGTTACCTGGGAGCCAGTCCAAATCCGAGTCATTCTTGAATTCCACGGACATTCCCATTGCGACAAGCATAATCGCTAGCCATTCACAGGCTTTGCTTACTTAAAACGGCATCAAAAGCGGCTAACCGCACAAGAGCAGTTCGATTAATCTGCAGATCGATTGAGTGAGCCAGCAAACAAACAATTAAAGTCTTTATTAGACTGGTCGGTTGGTCTTTGCAACCCATTTAGGTGCGGATATGTGAGTGCCATTTTAATTAGGCACACGACTCTGACTGTCATTGGAACCAGTGACTCAACCACCCATGGCCACGGCCAAGTGAAACATTTTCATTTACTATAGTTTAATTCTCCTTCGCTCTTCTCATTTCAGGTAAGTCCACTGCCACCACTTAGAATCTTGCTTGCAACGCCGCCAACAACTCAACCTGTTTCCGTGTGCTCGGGGTAAGTGAGTTGCTCAACCTGTCGATGAAGTTGGTCGCTAGTTGGTAGCTAAACAGCTAAGAAACTAAAAAGAAGCTGAAAGCAACTCAGCCACTCAGTGGCTAAAAGAAGCTGCGGCTATGTGTGTCGTCTTGCATCGGTAACCGATCGCACTATTGGCCATAAATTATGTCGTTGCTGGCTCAGAAACTCTTTTTCTCTCTCTTTCACAAAAGCGAGTCAAACGGCGAAGAGTCATTCCGGCCTCCACTACCAATCATCATTGTTAGGTGCACATCAAAATTTATAGGTCAGTAGTGGCAACAAATTGCCAGGCATTCCGATGTACCGATGTTTCAGGCTGCCCAAATCATTGCCGATCCTCCGATCGATGGCCAGATGCCCTCCATCTTCATCGCTGTCGTCGTCCCACCGACGACTGCACTTTCGTCCGTCTTGAGTGTATCTAATAAGGCTTGGCCGGCCAGTTCCCTTGTCCATGTCATCGGTTACCTGGTAGGCAGGGAACACAGTACAAAGCGATACGCTGGCAACCAAACAAACTGACCCACTCAACAATTGTATTGAAAGTTTTGGCTGCCTTTCGGCCCGTTTTCCCCCTTTTAACTTCTCTTCTCCCCTCAAACTTATGACAATCGATTTGCAATGGAAAGCCAAAGGCCTGGAGGCGCTCCATTTATAACAAGTGGCCAGCTTTGGCTCTAGCCATTCCCAGTCGGAAACCCAGCTTGGTTCGCCTTTACATTAAAAAAAAATATTCAAAGTTAATACCTGAAATAGCCCATTTTAAAACTTTTGTTTAATAATAACAGATTAAAGAACTATTTGTTATTATTCTTAAGTCTGGTAATGAGTTTAAACTCTAGCTAGTTTTATTTGCCTTACAGACATTGGAAACATAAACTTAGCTAAAGGATTTGAGAAGCGCAGAGAAAGGCTTAAAATTTGTTTTTAGATTTGAAAGATTTAAAAGTATAATACTCTACTTTGCATTTGGTCAAATCAATAAATAATTTAAAATTGCTTCCTTTTTTTAGATTTAAGTTTTATTTTCAAATTTAAAAAAATTGTTCTCAGTGTATCATTGAACTTTTTGTGGCTCCTACTCTACCTTCGTGTTGTTGCTGTTGTTGTTGTTGTTGTCATTGTCGTTGTCATCGCTTGTTGCTTTGTTGTTATAGTTTGAGAGTCAAGTTGTTCCAATAATTCTGCATTTGACATTCAACGGGGGTTTACTTCGGTTCTTCTGGTTTTTGTTAGCTTTGCCCGAAACGGTTTCCGTTTTTTCTATTTTTTTTTTTTTTTTGTTAGTCCAGAGATGTCTCTGTCGCAGGAACTTGGCCCATTGTCTTGGGAAATATGTATCTAGCTTGACAGGCGCTTGTCGCCTTTCCCCTTTCTACATTTCCCCTTCGAACTTATCTGTTTGTTGTTTTTGGTGATCATTGCTAATTAAGCCAAAAGAATGGGTATTATTTGGAAGGGAATTCCTCTACAAAATCTAAAATGGGTTTTCGGTTATGGTACTTCTTTATCCATATTTATGGTAAAATATGGAATTTATTTTTATAATAGGATATACAATATGATATGTTAAGATCCGTCATGATTTTTTTAATTTTGATTGCTTTGTTTTGTTTTATTTTATCTCGATCTTAAAAATTTGTAAATTCCAAAATCCAAAATAGCTCTTTATAACTTTTTCAAACCCAATAATATTTTAATATCCCGAAAAAAACTTGCTCTAGTTTGTTCAGAAGCAACCATGAAGTTTTCCCTTCTTAAGCATAATATTCTTAAGGGTTTCTCTAAAGGATATATTGATATTTATCTTACCTTGTTATCCTTGTTGACCGCTCCCAGTTTCTGCTGGTAGTACTCCTCGCGAGCATTTGTGTTGAGGCTGTCGATCAAAGCCGAAGCATTCACATGAGCATCGTAGACCATGCTGTCCTGCTGGTTGTTATAAGTGGCCGTTGAAGCTCCCGATCCTGCTGATCCTGCAGCTCCTGCTGCTGCTGATGAGGATGCAGCTGCTGCTGCTGCTAGTGGAATATTTGCCTGTGGAGTGCGGGTGTACAACTGTTCGAGTGGCAACGAAGGCGATGCTGCTGAGTTCGTAGTTGCCGAGGGAATCGATGCCGAGGAGGGATTGGATGAACTGCCTCCTCCCATCGAGGGAGTAACCTTCTGCAGCGGCTTCGATTGCTGCTGCTTCTGCTGGAAGTTGGTGGTGGCCACTTTTTGTTTCAAGGTGGTGGCACTGCTCGCTGCTGCGGCGGAGGTGGTGCCACTGCTACTTGGCTTCGAGGCAGCTGCCGCATTTGCCGCTGCTGCACTCACGCTGCTCGGCCGCTGACCCCCGCGTTTCAAAGCGGCGGTGACCTTGTGGGCAAAGGGTCGCTTGGTGGCCCGGTTCTTCAGCTTTCCCATGGTCGTCAATGTGCGCTGCTGGCTGCCCGAATTCGTTGTGGTTGTGGTTGCACCTCCATCGGGATCATCGGCCGCCGTTATAGCAGCTATATTATTATTCGATCGAGCGGCCACGAACTGATCATCGGGATCGGTGGAATCGGTGAGAGATTCATCGCTGGTCGTCGCCGCCTCGGATTGGGTGGTTAGGTTGGGTGAGGTGGTTTCCGCCTCCTCATCGGTGGCCTCCGATTCCGATTCCGCTTCGGTTTCCTGCTGCTGACTCACATCCGTGGTGGTGGGCAGTTCCTTCATTATGGTGCTCATGGCAGCCTGTTCGTTCATCGTGTTCTGCAGTTCCAGCAGCGTGGTTTCATCCAGGATGAGAGTGGGATCCGTTTCAGCCTCGGTGGCTCCAGTGGGTGGCTGGGTGCTCTGCTCCTGATCCCGTTCCGTTTCGCCCGTTTCCGTTTCCGCTTCCTGCGGCGTGGTGCTCGATGTGCTGCTGCTCCTGGATGAAGTGGCCTCCTGTTGGCCAAACTGCTGCTCCTCAATGTCCAGGGATTCCTTCAGCCTGGCCACTCGCTCCACGATCCTGGCCAGCATATCCTTCTGCTGCTCGGGCAGGTTTTTCGTATCCAACTCGAGCAATCGATCGTACTTCCGGATATTCCGCTTAACAGTTTCGATATCTGCACGAGTTTTGGCCGAAGTTAATCCAGCCGGGGGATTCGGATTGGAGCGGGGTGTCTCCTGGAAGTAGGTGCGTGCCCGACGATTGCTATAACCCACCAGTTCGATGACACCCGGATAATCCGAGCCAGCAGAAGCAGCAGTTGCAATAGTTGCCATCGCAATCAGGGCCAAAAAGCAGCTCCAGGCTGCACTTAAATGCACCATTTTGACCAAGATTGCGAATTCGATTTATTTAGTTTTTTTCTGTTCTTTGGTTTTTTTAGTAGAATTTTCCTGCAATTTTTCTTCCTTTATTTAAAATGGGTTTTTCTATTTTCTTTAATTTTTTTTTGCACTCGCGCGAATTCACGTTCGGTTTTGTATCTTGTATCTTGTATTTCTCGTATTTCACTAGCTCGCGTATTAGTGTCAACTAACAGTAACTCCGAATCTTCGACCGCAGACACACACGCGAAGAAGTCCAGAGAGTCAGGAATCAGTATCAGTATCTTTTTACCAGCTGTCTGGGACACTTAAAACTTTTATTTACTTTTTTTCTGTATTTACTCTTTTTTATTTTGGCCACGATCCGCTGACTTCTAACGTCGGATTACAAATGTTCCAGGCCGCTGGATGGCAGCGTCTTTTAAAAATTTCCAAGCGGAAAACGCGGCGCAGACTTTTCTCCCAACTGGAGCTTCGGTGTTTGGTAGCTTCTTTCACCAAGTTCATGGCCAGACCGGTTTGAAGCCAACATGTTGCATTGCCGCCGCCAAATGCGATTGCGATCGCCGTCGTCGTCGCAACCGCAGAGCGGAGAATCCACAAGAGAATCCCGGAGAATCGGAGAAATATATCTCTGTTACATACTTACTTTGCTTTTAGAGAGAAGAGGCGGCTTTCTCTGGCGCATGTTGCCAACGTTTGGCAGCGAATGTTGCCAGGGCTTCAATTGACAAATGAAGAGCGTTAATCGCAACATGTTGCTGGGCGAAGCCATTAGGCCGGCCACACGCCTTCCTTAACGTATCTGACGGATACGTATCTGCGAGATATACGAGCCCAGGCACTATTCAATTAGTCATTCCAGACACAAGTCGGCCGAGAGAGGCAAAAGTCGCGTTACACCGGCAAAACGATCATTTATTAGCTGAACTTTGCAACTCAAGAACTTTTAATTCTTCCTTTAAACTAGTTTTAAAAAAGCATTATTTTGAATTTTAACTCCTTAAACTACTTTACTACTTTTCAGTATCTTAAAGGAAATGAACACAGCCTTTTTTTTTTGTTTTTACCCATATAATTTCTAAATAAATGTCTAACCTAGAAATTTACTTAGAAAATTAATGAACACACTTTTTTAATGATATTTAATATTTTTATTATTAGAAATAATTTTTGTTAGCTTAAAAAATTATATTAGCGATTTGATAACAAATTTCTAATAGGTTGTCATTTGTTTTACATTTCCTACTCAGTCATTCTTCATAATCTTTTATTGTACCTATTTATAAAGTATCTTTATATTCTTTATTATGGTTCTAAAATTAATAATATGTAAAAAAGTAGAAAAAAATCGTTAAGAACCTATTTTCTCAGTGTACGGCCTGATTCTTGAGCTGCTTTCGCTTCAATGTCAACTCGGCTCGTTTAGTCTGTCATCGATTTGGACTGGTACTCGCAAAACCAGACGAGCTAACACCTAACACCTAGCACCTCTTCCCCGAAAAAACCAGCTGAAAATTCTTGGCCTCGCCGTGGTTCAATTTAGCTAAATGCTTTCGCATTAAACATAATTTGTCGCGGCCTTCTTAATTGCAGATTGGGGAAGTATGTAGCTCTATATCTTACACTCTCTCTCCCAATATCATTTCTTTCTATATTTTTTTTTTTGGTTCGTTTCTCTAACCTTTCTCCCTCTGGGTGATCTATAGCCCCAATCGTGCTCGGAAATTCTAATGAACTTCAAGCAGCTCATCCATTTCCATTTCACATTGTTTCCATATTTATACCCTAACTCGGAGTGCTTTGAAGGGATTAAAGCCAAGAAATCTGAATAACTATTCAAGATTGTGTCTTTGTCATCACGTTTTTGTATGAAACATTATAGTCTTTTTTTTGTAAAGATATGGTAAAGATTATTGTTTATTTATAAATTAGTTCTGGTTGTTTTTTTTTTTAATTTATTGTGCGTGTTGCGGATTGGCTTTAAAGCATAATATTATTTTATTTTTAAATAACTTTATAACACTGAATAAATATTAATTATAAACCTCTAAACTCTCAGTGAGCATTTATAATCTGTATTTCTTAATCTTCAAGAAATCTCAATTATGTTCCCCTAATTCCGAAGAGCATTAAATATGCCATTAGACATTTTTCCATGCCGCCTTTCATTTTCCTATGCAACTATTTGGCCCCAAACAATTTCCCTACCGCCTGGGAACTGCAATAAAACAATAACAAATAAACTAATAAGAAAACGTTGCCAACTCTAAAGCTCAAGTTCAGCGGAAAGGCTGTTGTGTGGAGCTTCCCATTTTTCACGTAGCCGCACAATAAAAGAAACTGAGCGTTAATTAAAAAAATAGCCATAGATCAATGCACCTGATAGATGCGGGAAATGTTTGTTCTACAGTGTTGCAACTTGCTGGTCGCTGGTTGCTCTTTCCCTATTTTTTTTTTTTTTTTTTTTTGTTTTTATGTGGTGTGTGTGCGTTGCTGCAGCAGCAGATATTCGCCAGCGGCAAATGTGGTGTAATTTGTGAGAAAGAGGCTGGGCTCCTTAGCCCTTTTTAGAGCCAACTAATGGAGAGAGCCCTGAGCGATCCCAGAACCCAAAAAAAAATAGAAGGGGGGAATATATTATATATATATATATAGAGAATGGTGGAAGGTTGACAAGGCTGCAGGCGCTTCCTTCATTAGCATGGAATGGGTGGAAAACTGGTCAACTATTCGGTTGCCGGTTCTTCATTCTGACACACATAAGGCGTTTATAATCATTATGGGATAAACGCCACAGTTGTTAACTCCTTCTGCAACTGTTGCTGCTGCTGCTGCACTGTTGCTGCTGCAGCGAGTGGGTGCTGCTGCTGTTGCTGTTGCGTGGTTGCAACTTTCTTCGTCTCTTATCTTTTGTGCATATGCAGCGGACACCGCAGCAACATCGGCAGACACAGCAGCAACATCAACGCAATGGCGGCGTCTGCATTCTTTGTTGGCTATAAAATATGCGACCGACGATCATCTAAGTACAACAGCAGCAACAGCAACAGCAACACTACAGCAGCAGCAGCAGCAACAGCAACTGCTGCAGCACTGCAGCAACTCTTGAACTTTACTGAGCTATGAAAATGCTTTTGCCCTTTTTCTATGCTGTCTTCTTCTTATTTTACTGCAGGCAGCAACTGTTTAGCATGATCTGCACTGGGAAAAATATTACTCAGTATTTAATGGTTTTTTTTTCAAAAGAAACATTGGAGTTCGAAATGAATCAATTTAAGATAAATACAGTTTAAATTTTAAAAATATTTTTTTATAAACAATAACCGTATAGGTATTAAATACGATTTATAGAATGAGAAATAGATAACAATTTCAAACAAGTGGTTGAAATGTAAGTTAGGGGTTTACAAAATATATCTTTAGAATGCTTCTTTCTGAAGCAGATTGGATGAAATCTATAAATTTTTTAATATATCTAATATAGGTCATATATTTGTCGTTAAAAAGTATACTTCCAGGAAAAAATATAATATTTCTGGTACTTTTTAAAATTCAAAGTATAAATGCATTTATATTCAAAAAGAAATCTAGGCAGTAAAACAAAGATTTTTTACCACGAGTTATAAATAAATCTTCTCTCCATCCTTTATCTTTAAGAACAAGGATATGCTCGTATTTTTCAGTGCGTCTTAAATGAGTGAAAGAGAGAGGGAGACGCAGCACGATGTTGCTGCTGCTGCTGCGCTCAAGTGCCAATAGCAATCTTCTTTTTTTCCAGCCGCTTTTTCCTTCTGCCGTTGTTGTTGTTGTTGTTGCTGCTGTTGTTGTTGTTGTTTATTTCCCCCTTGCTTGATCTTTTGGTCTTTGGCGGTAATTTTTCTGCGCAACTTTTTCCTTTTGGCCAAGACTTTATTGGCTTTCGGTTGCCTTCGCCTCGACTTTTCCTCTTCTCTTTATTTCGGTGCCATTTTGGTGCTGCTCTTTTTTTATCTGCCAAAGTTTTGTCTTCATTTTTATTTTAATAGCGATCTTGATATCCACTTGGACTCCTCCACTCTTCCTTCTTCAGTTTCTTGAGCTGGGCATCCTGCGGTATCTTCTCTTTATCACATAATGATTTCAAATGGTGCGAAATTAATTTGAATTATTACTGTTATTAGCTGTTATTTGTGTAATGGCCAGTGCCTGATCGCAGCCCAAAAAGTATCCGCGTGGATGGTACAGTTGTAGTTGTTGTTGCTGCAGTTGTTGTTGGAATTGTTGTTGCAGTGGTTGCAAGTGGCTGCTGCTGCTGTGCATTATGCAAGACGTGGGTAACTAATTCCCCAAGAAACGGTCGCAAATTCAGTGATAAGCCATGAGAACGAACAATTTTAGCAGTAACAATTGCTGGCTGAAACACAAGGAGAAAAACTTTTATATAAGATATAATATATTTTTTTATTTATTTGGTTACTTAGAAGTACTGTATTCCAATTAATTTATACATTGAACTACATTTAAAAGAAAAGCTTGATTACGGGTTTATTCAAAGCTTATTAACCGATTTAAACTGTAACAAATTGTTGTTAAAAATGCATCTTTAGGTAGTACTTTAAAAATATTTTTAAAATCATATAGGAAAGTGTCAGTAAATGCTAGGCAAGAATCCGCGTTGATGACAAGCCTTGTTTTTTGCTTTTTTTCCTGTGCAACCTTGGCATCAATTACCAATTCTCGTTGGCCGCTCGAATGACAGCGGCTTTGTTGTTCGACAGCGGCCAGTTGGCCACATTTAAATTTATTAAAACTGCACCACCAGCCACTAACGGACAGCGGCGATTGGAATGTGCAACAGCAGCAGCAACAGCAGCAGCAGCAACTGCAGCAGCAACATGCTGTGCAGTAAGTTGCTGTGTTGCGTTCAATGACCAAGGTGATCTTGTACTCCTCGTTCCGGCATCCTGATGGCGCCTCGGCCATTTGCAATTTGCCATTTTGCGATCTTTAGCATTTTGCATGCAATTTGATGCCATTTGTTATTTGCTTAATTGTGCCCAAGCTCTGTGCCGCACTTCCTGCCACATCACTTTACTTCAGTTCAGTTCGGTTCTGTTCTGTGTTCTGTTCTGAGTTCTGTTCTGTTCGGTTTGGTTGAGTTTAATCTGAGTTTTTTTCTTACCGTTTCTAATTGTTGGCCGACACGCAGCGAGCGTTTGCCTGCAATCCGCAGCAGACTCGGACCCATTTAGTTTCAATTAATCAAGTTGTCGCTGCACGCGTCTATTAGCTGTTTTATGACAAGTGTTCTGGGGCGACGGATCGAGGGAATATCCCATCCTCTGCAGATCGTAGGCCTCAAGCTGTCCGCCTGTCGCTCATTAGCGGCGCCCCCGAAGTTGCCACTAATGTGGATGCCACTG